GAAGGCTGGTGGTTGGAGAGGGAGCTCCGCTGGGCTGGCGGTTGAGGGATGACACCGGACACCAGGGTCACGGTCCTCCCAGGCTGAGTATCACCGAGCAGCCCCGCGGGCACCAGCCCTGCAGACAGCAGTCCCCGGAAGGCTGGTGCCACCGCCTCCTTGCTGCCTCCTGCCCTGAGCCCACAGGCGGGCGGGCTGACACCCTCACGCAACAGGCCGCTGTGAAGGCGTCGGCTGGGCTGGCCCGAGAGCTTGGCTCTGAACTCCACCACAGAGCCCCGCGCCCAGGGCTGGAAGGTAAGACCTGAGACCAGGACACCGGCCTTTGTGCCTGCAGAGGTGGGCGTGGCCAGGATGGCACACACGGAGCAGCCAGATGTGGGCACAAACTCAGAATCAGAAACAGCCGCTGCGCTGGCCAACCGGCGCCGCAGCCAGACAGCGTGCAGCTCCCGTGAGCTTCGCACAGGACGCGGACGATGCTGAGAGCACAGCCCCGAGGAGCAGCGGGCGGGGCTCAGGGGTGCCAGGCCCTGGGCAGTGACGGTGCACACAGCCATCAGTCGGTTGGTCGGTCGGTCGGTCTCCCATGGAAAGGGCTGGCATGCCGGGAGCTGGCTGTGGGGGCTCAGGGCCTGCGGGGCCCTCCCTCTGACTTGGCCTGGCCTCTGGGCCTGGCCTCCACAGTTCTGCCGTCACCTGGACCGGCCAACCTTCCTTCAATGCCCTCCGTCACTGCGCCTCCTGAGGGCGTTCCCGGCCGGATCTACGGCCCAGCGAGCTTTATGTGTCGTCTTTTTCTTTTTTTCTTTCTTTTTTTTATGGTGAAAATGAGACTTTCAACACCACTCTTGAGAGTGGGCGCCCACTATACAGGATTGTGGTGGGGCAGGGGACACGTGTTTACATAGCCCCTCCTCGGCTCCTCATTGGCTGAACTATCTGGTCACCTTCTTTTTAAATTTTTTCTTTATTGATTACGGAGTTACATGTGTGTCCTTATCGCCTCGTTGCCCCACCCCCACCCGCAGCTGGTGCCCTGTGTCCATGGGTTAGGCTCATATGCAGGCACACAAGTCCTTTGGTGGATCTTTCCCCTTCCCACCACCTTCCCTCTGAGGTTTGATGATCTGATCGATGCTTCTCTGTCTCTGGAACTGTTTTTGCTAATCAGTTTGTGTTGCTCGTTATATTCCACAAATGAGTGAGTTCATGTGATAGTTCTCTTTCTCTGCCTGGCTTATTTCACTTAGCACAATGCTCTCCAGGCCCGTCCATGCTGCTGCAAATAGTAAGAGTTCCTTCTTTTTTACAGCAGCGTAGTATTCCGTTGTGTAGATGTACCAGAGTTTTCTGATCCACTCATCTGCTGATGGGCACTTAGGTTGTTTCCAAATCTTAGCTATGGTGAAGTGTGCTGCTATGAACATAAGGGTGCATATATCCTATGATATGTGTCCTGTTTTTCTAACACATTTATTTTAAAATAAAATCAACCATTAACATTGATGACCGTAAGGCCAGCCCCTAACGTGAACAATGAGCCCTGAAAACCACAGGCCATCTCCCCTTCCCCGTCTCACATAGCAACGCTGTCCGGCGACGCAGAGCCACTGCTGCCTGCGGCGGCTCCACCAGAGCCAGTCCCAGAGCAGAAGGACCAGCCGGTCAAACCGCACGGGCCGAGGAGTCAGAGCATCAGGGCTCAAAGCCGCACCCTGAAGCCTCTCATTCTACCACTTCTCTCAGCAAACAGAAGCGGAGGCCACGACCTCCCAGCTCCTGGGCAGGGGCACTGGCAGCGCTGGGGCTGGGTGGCAGGCCTCCCGCAGCCCGGCTCTGGGGGAGTGGCCCCCGCCCGCGTGCGGGGCCCTGGAGGACAGGCCTGGGGACCAGTATGGCCAGCGGCCTGCGTGGTTGGACAGGCCTGCGTCCGCGCCTCCGTGGCCCCCACACGAGGGGCCGTCTTTGACACGTTGGGCAGCCTCGCTGCCTGTCCCCTCCGTGTCATCCCTGCAGCCGGGGGTCACCCCTCACGGCAGGACGGCTGCGAGGACCAGACGACCCGAGACGCTCACACAGGCCACGAGGGCTGAGCTGCAGGACGCTCGTCCAGGAGGGAGAGGAGTGAGCTAGACACAGCCCCGCGGTCAGGGCCACACCTGTCCCTGGCAGGTAACGGCTTTCTCCTCACCTGACGGAGGGAGGGGCACAGGGGCAGGAGACGGCTGGTTAGGAATGGCGGCGGCAGGGGGAGGGGCCCCCAAGGTTCACGGGAACAAGCTTGGATGGGTTTTCGGGGGAAGAAGGCAGTTTTAGAGGAAGGGGGAAATGTCTGCAGGAGGTGGACCTCGGGGGCAAGCCGCCCTGTCGGTCTTAGGGTCTCCTCCCCACATAGGAGCTGGGCGCCTCCCGTCGGGAGAAAGTCCCTTGTGTTTCCCTCAGGACTTGGTGTCAGGCCAGGGGTTGCTCTGGACGTGCCTCCTGTCCTCCCAGGAGCCCGTCCCGACCCCTCCCCACTCGGGCAGCGTGTCCCGGGCGGGTTGTGCGGAGACTGTGCCAGCTAACTGTGCAGCTGCTCGGCTGTGGCCCATCACCTTCTAACATTTAGTTCCTGGAACAAAGCAAACCCCAAAATTGGAAAACTTGTTTACCTACATCACAAGGAACAGAATCATATGGTCACTTCCTCTTTCAGGTAAGGAAATCGAGGCACTGAGAGAATTCTAAGTTCACATAGCAAGTCAGAAACAGGAACAAGGATACCCGTTTGATAAATGATTATTCTCTTACCAGCATTCAACATTCAACAGACACATGGCAGTGGGACCGGAGTTTGTATACATCCAGTCCCCACAACTGCCCATCAATCTCCCTGAGGCCCACGGAGAAAAGGCCCTGGGTCACTGCAGACTGGTGACAGGATCCAGCTCAGACCCGCCTGCAGGCTGGGGCCCCTCTGAAGCTCAGAATAGAATTCCCTCTCCTGTTTCCATGCTAAATCCAATCACCCTTCGTTAAGCCTCTGTGAGCTCTCTGTGCTCACAATTCCCAGCCTGGGATTGGGTCAGGGTCACGCCTGTGAGGGGAAGGGAAGGACGGTGGCCACCACACAGCCACCAGCAGGGATGTTTGTGTGGTCCCCAAGTTGGCACAAAGAGACCAAGTTCCCAGAAGCTGAGTGACTCACCCACGTTCAACAGTAAGCATGGTGAACCCAGATCCCACAGCCAATCTGTCTGACCCAAAGCCACGGCTCCCGGGCTCCAGGCCGCCTGATGAGGCTAAAATTAATTGACATTGTCCACTAATGGTGCTTGGCGCTGACTCAATGCCAACAGGAACCCAGCTCGGAGAGGGTGCAGAAGGCTGTTGTTCAGTGCAAACAGCTCAGTTGTGACGGAGCACAAGTGTGAGAAAACTCTGTGCAGAGCTCAATAGACTACAGCTCAGGAAGAAGCGGCAGGCTGTGCGGCAGCCCCAGGCAGCCTGGTCTGGTCTAGTGTGACCTGCCCTGGGCTGCCCTGGGCTGCCCTGCTCTGGTGAGCCATCTTCATGTCTCAGCTCCAGCCAAAGGAGAACAGACATCACCAAAGGGAGCCGAGGAGAGCCGGCTTATGTAGCCAGAACTCTCTGCCCCTGGTCCCTGATTGGTTTGCCCTCATGCAAATGAGGACTCTAAATAGTCACAGTGTGATTGGTCCAAAGGGGCCATCCTAATTGGTCAAAACGGGGCCATTCTGATTGGCTGGTGAAGATGCTGATGGACTATAACTGTGCAGCCCAATTAGATGGGGACAGTCTCAATCCTATTGGTTAAAGTTCAAGCCCAGGAACTCCTGGCTCAGATGGCAACCCAGCATGTTGACTGTGCTCAGCCAGCGTTCACCACTTAACTGAATTGAAAACTGTATTTACGGATGTGTGCCCCCATCCAGCTTCACAGAAGGTTTGCGAGCTCACGGGGTGGGACGTGGGAGGGGTAATGGCCTTTCCATAAGCCCGACACCCAGCCCCGGGTTGTTAATTCTGTCAACTGTGACCACTTGTGTGGAAAAGTCTCCTTCGCGCAGGCTGTCACAACCTCTTCTTGAGCAGAAGAGGCAGGTGCTGTGGCTCCTCGGCCCGGCCGCCGGCTCCCCTGTGAGTGTCTGCCGCCCTGTGTCCGGAAGGCTGTGAGGACTCGGTGCTGCAGGGGGCGCCCTGGGGACGTCCAGAGGGCCAGGCTGCTCCTCTCCGCCGTCCCGTCCGGCAGCAGCTCCCCCGGGGCCAGTGTCAGGGCCCCGCGCAGCCTGTCCGGCTCGGTCTCCGCCGCCTGAGTGGGCGCCCGCGCTGTCCCCGGCGGCTCCCCGGCGGCTCCCCGGCGCCGGGTCTAAAGCTGAGCCCGGGGTGCAGGGCTTCCGGCTGGAGAGCGGCTGGCGGGCATCTCTGCTCCCCCGTCCGCGGTCAGATGAAGCGCACGCCCCCCCCCCCCCCCCCCCGCCGCGACGCCACCCACCCTGGGCGAAGGCTGGAGCCCCAGGGGCGGGTCAGGACACCACTCTGCGACCTCCCCTCCCTCCCTCCCGCTCCTCCTCCTCCTCCTCCTCCTCCTCCTCCTCCTCCTCCTCTCGGCCACTGGCTGCACCTCGCGGCCTGCACAATAGAGGCTCCGCCTCCCTCTGCGCTGCTCGCAGTCCCTCGGCATCGGCGGTCCTGGCCCCAGGCTCCCTGCAGCCCGCGCTGGGCCACCCCGGCTCCCTGCCGCTGCCCTGCTCCGCCCGGCGCTGCCGGACCCAGCCCCCGCCTGAGGACGCCGCCACCTCCACTTCCCTGCGCCCAGGGCCGCTCGCACCCACCCGGACGGAGATGACCCGGGCCCCGGGGGCGCCCCGGCCACGCGCGCTCGCCTGCACCCGGCCGGGGAAGGCGCTCTGAGCTCCGCCTGACCAGCGTCCTCTGGCACAGCCGCTGCCGGACCATCCCCAGCCGATCCGGCCCAGCCCCCCTGTCTCGCCCTCATGGCCCAGCCTCTGCTGCTGGCTCTCTGGCTGGCTCTGGGAGTGGCCCTCAGTGTGGCCACTGTGACCCCCGCAGGCACCAGCGAGCCCCCTACCGCGCCGACCGTGGCCCCCACGGAGGCCGAGACCCTGCAGAGCGAGGCGGACAACCAGGAGAACGTCCTGTCTCAGGTAGGCGCCGTATGGCCACGGCCGGCCGGAGGGACTGGTGTCTGGTGGCAGACTGTTTGCTTAGGGGAAGGGACAGGGTCTCCCAGGCAAAGGGACCGGGAGGAGAGGGGGGGGAATGGGAGGAGACCCTCTGGCCTGCAGGCTCTGTGGGAACGGCAGGGGCGGATGGCGGGACCCCTGGGAGATTCTCCCACCGGAGTGAGAGGCCGGAGACGGTGGACATGGCAGTAAAGGACTGTCCTTGTTTGAGGGCTCAGTCCTCAGCCCTAGTCCCAGTTTTCAGCTAAAGACCATCAGGCGCTGATGGTTAGAAGGGGGAGGGTGGACAGGGCCAGTTCGGAGTCTCAGTCAGACCCCTCTCCTGGGGGGCTCTCTGAGCTGTTTATCCCATGACCTGTGGCAGCGGCTGCCGAGGAAGGACCCCGAGGAAGGACTCCAAAGCCCTGGCCCTCCCCGCATAACCTGCTGACATTGCCCCGTGCCCGCCACAGCCTCCGGAAGCACCTGGCATCGGGCCCTGTGGGGCCATGGGCACAGCTGCCTGAGAGCCGAGCCTCTGGAGCAGCGGCTCCCCTCCTTCCTCATGCCGCGGCCCTTCAACCCGGCTCCTCCGTCACGGTGACCCCAACCAGAGCGTTACTTCTGTTGCTCCTTCACAACCGTAACTCTGCTCCTGTTGTGAATCGTAAATACCTGTGTTTTCCGATCGATCGTCTTCGGAGACCTGCTAGCGATTCTCAACCTGTGAATAGCAACGAAAGTAACGTGATGGCTGGGTCACCGCAACCTGAGGAGCCGTATCGAAGGGGCGCGGCCTTCGGAGGGCTGGGAACGCTGCTCTGGAGGAGGCTGCAGGGGGCTCCGTGCGGTCAGGGAGGGAGCGGAGCAGAGCTTCAGAGGCGGGAGGCCAGCCGCACCCGTCACCTCGAACTATAAGCCGCCGTCCGCTGCGTGTGATATCAGCCCTGACAAAATGAGTGTTAGCAGAAACCCAGACTCCGCAAGGAAAACGGCCAGCCCTTCCCCACCCAGCGGCCAGCGAGGCTCCCCTCGATCCCCTGGCCTCCAGCAGGTCATGGGCCGGACGGAAGGAGCCCCTCGGTGCCCAGAAAGGAGGCTGTGCGGGTGCGGGTGCGGGTGCGGGGCCTGCGGGGAGCAGCTGGGAGAAGCGTGGCCCCAGGGGACCCCAGAAGCTGCCCTGCGAGCGGCAGGCTGAGGACGGCCCGCCTCCTCGGAGCAGAGGCTGCCGGTGTCTGAGCGTTGCCTGGACTCTGGGTCCAGCAGCCGCTCTAGAGCCAGCTCACTCCTCACACGGAGCAGCCCTCGCCCCTTCTGCACCCGAACCCACGCTTCGAGGCCCAGCTCCAACGCCCCCTCCTCGGTGCGCTGTGGGCTGCGGCCCAGCGCGAGCTCACCCCCTGCTGGGCACTGGGCGCACCCTCTCCCTCTGCACCCCGCCTGGCGCATGGCACCCAGCGCAGCCCGGGAGGCGCCGGGAGCGGAGGGGGTAAGTGGTGACGGGAAGGAGCCGCTTCAGGTCCGGTGTGGGCAGTGGCCTCAGCAGGCACCTCCTTTCCCTCCTCGCTCTAACCTGGGCTCCCGCTGGGCAGGGCTGCTGGGAGGACACTGGGGCTCACTGGTCTTCCCTTAAAATGATGGAAGGCCGAGGCCCTGAGACACGCCGCTTCCTCGGACAAGAGCTGGCGGCCGCGGTGCCTTCCAGGCAACGGCCTTGTGACTGCCGTGGGCGGTCAGGTGTCTGGCTCGGGGGCCTGTGTCCACATGCCCTGCCATCCTCTCTCTGTCTGTCCAGTTGCTGGGCGACTATGACAAGGTCAAGGCTGTGTCCGAGGGCTCCGACTGCCAGTGCAAATGCGTGGTGAGACCCATGGGCCACGACGCCTGCAAGAGGGTCAACGCCGGGGCCTCCAGGAAGGAGGACTTCTACACCGTGGAGACCATCTCCTCCGGCCCGTCCTGCAGGTGCGCCTGCGTCGCTCCGCCCTCCGCCCTCAACCCCTGCGAGGGGGACTTCCGGCTCCAGAAGCTCCGGGAGGCCGACAGCCGCGACTTGAAGGTGGGCCCGGTGGGGCGATGTCGTGGGGGAGGTCACCAGCCTGGGGACGCAGGCCTCTGAGCGAGGGACCTGCGTCAGCCTTTGCACAGCGGTCACTTTCAGCCCCGACACCCAAGGGAGCTGTGAGAGCCAAGTCCGCCCATGTTGCCAGTGGAGCCGGAGGCCGCCTTGGGGGCAGCTGCCAGGCCCCACGGCCTGAAGCACGTGCCCGCAGCCCACCGGGGCGGCTCCGTCCGGCTCCTGCCACGCGCACGCGCGGTGGGAGGAGCTGGTTTGGGAGTCAGACGCCGGGTCCGTCATCATCGGCACCACTTGCATCGTCCACTCAGGTCACCTGCTTGTCTGGCCCTGAATGCACAGCGGGAACTCCTGCCTGCGGTTTGGCCGGAGCGCTGTGATGGCCACCGAGCGAGGGGGCACAGCATGGGCACGTGCTGCGCCGGGGACTCCCTCACGGGCCATTGGTGGTCATCGGTACCCGCTAGGCACAGTGGTGTTTGAGAGGCAGCGAGTGACCCGCCCGACTCAGTCATACCCCTCGTTTCTGAACCAGAGGTGCCACCCTCTGTGGGATGGGGCGCTGGGGCCCCTGGAACGGGCGGCAGAACTTCCTACCAGGGATGGACACGTCCTCCCAGCACAGAGAACCGGCCCTCCATGGCCTGGCCCAGGGGTTGCTGGGGCGCCGTGGGCAGGAGACCTCGTGCTCAGGTTCCGTCTGACTCGAGGCGGGAGCGGTGGGCAGAGGGCGGACCGGCGGCCAGCTGGCTGTTCTGGGGCCTCGGCAGGAGGCTGTGGGGCAGCACCTGCCTTCTCCCGCACCTGCCCCCCGAGCCCAGGATGTGCCAAGCCGTTGGCCTCCCTCCCCAGGGCCTCTGGCTGGCAGGAGGGGCAGCCCTGGAGGACCAGCGTGCCACCTCAGAGCTGGGTCACCAGGCTCTTTCAGGCCAGGGTCAGTGCTCTCGGTGCAGAGAGAACACACTGCCTCCAGGGCCCTCAGCAGGCTAGCGGGTGCCCCAGTGCAGTGTGCCAGGGCACAAGCCCCGGTCCTGAGGCTCCAGCCACCCCTGGGTGTCCACAGAACCCCCGGCAGGTGCTGTGCTGACAGACAGGACTGACAACCTCGGAGGAAAGAGATGGTGGAGACTCACCAGAGCCCCAGCAGGCGGGCACACTCACTCACGGTGTCTGCTGCGTGTATGCCAAGACAAATGCCCCCTCTGAGGCCACCTCTCAGTGCCGGGCTCCCCTGGTCCTCTGGCCTAGACTAACCGCCCTGTCCCGCAGCTCGCCACCGTCATAGACATGCTGGAGGGCGCGTTCTACGGCCTGGACCTCCTGAAGCTGCATTCGGTCACCACCAAGCTGGTGGGGCGAGTGGACAAACTGGAGGAGGTAAGGAGCATCCTGGGAGGTAAGAATCTCCACGTCTTTCTCCTGATCAAGCCCCAAAGTGTGTCCAACCTCCCCGTGTTCCGACAGAGGGCACATCGCTGGTGGCCAGAGAGCCGGCGAAATGGAACCATGTGCCCATGTGGCTATGCAGGGTGATCCCCCCAGGGACAGTCATCGCAGGGCCTGCTGCCCAAGCACCAGGGTCCCGGTCTCAGCCAGCACCTGGCCCGTCAGCCATCTGCTTGGGGAGCAGCTGGTCTCGGCAGCTGGCGGCTCCGCCCAGGCCGCTGCCATCTCAGCTGTGGTCAGAGGGACGCGCCTCGTCCTGCCTGTGCTGACAGTCTGAACGCCGCTGCGCCAGGGCTGGAGACAGCTGCCAGGGGTGCTGTCCTGTCCCTGCCCCCTGGTCCTGGGGGGCTGGAGTGGGGAGAGCAGACTGAGCTACCAGCCTCCCCCGGGCCCAGGGCCCCACGCTGGCTCCCGTCGCCAGCCGCCTCTGCTCCCGGTGCCCGGACTGAGGAGCCCTCCTGCACACCTGCCGTCCCCGTGTGCCCACTCACTTCCCCGGTCCCAGTGCTTTCAGCTTCATCTCAGCTAGGCACACACCTGTCCTGCGCTGGACGAGGTCAGTCCACCAGCCCTGGACCCCAAGGCCACCACATCCAGTCCCCCGGCCCGCAACCCTGCCTCACTCTCACACTTCCCCCCTCCCGAGGGGTGTCTGTGCAGTTTGCCCAGGCACCTGGCCCCTCTCTGTTCACACCTCCCTACCCCCTGCTGGCCGCACCCAAGGGCTCGGGGCAGACTTCCCAGGCCTCCAGGCTCCTGGCCTGTGCCCGCCCGGCAGCTCTCCTCCCCTTGCACACTGCTCTGCCAGGGACCTCGCAGGGACCGGGGAAGGGTCTCCCTCCAGCTAGGCCCCCTGCCACCACAGCGCCCGCCCCGCCCAGCCGTGAGCCCAGCCGCACACACCATACTTGTCACGGTCGCAGCTGTGCCAGGGAAGAGCCTGAGGCGGCGGCCATGGGCCCTCCCTTCTGCCAGGTGACACCGAGAGGGCCCCACGTAGGCCCAGGGTAGGAGGGGACTGAGCCAGGAAGGAGGCCAGGGCAAGGGGCCTGGGGGCGGCTGGTGAGTGATGCCACTCCAGCCTGGCACTGATTTAGGTGGCAGACGGGCTCTGCTGTTCCCGTGAGGGGCGGCCTCTGCTCTGGGAGCCTGCTGCCCCAGCCTGCTCTGTGCAAACCCAGAGACGCCAGCCCGAGGGCACCGGGCCATCAGGGCCGGGCCACAGGGGCCCAGCCATGCAAGACGGGGCCGTCAGCACACAGCAAGCCACCTCAGGCTGCCAGGATCATGGGCCTTGTGTGGGTGACGAGGCAACTGTGGCCACGCCACTGGGGTGCCCAGGGGAGCCCTGGGCCCTGTGGGCAGGAAGGGACACACCTTGGTGCCCCCAAGATGTACACTGACTGGGAGGGTCAGCACCTGCCTCGGTCATGCCACCTGACTCACGTTCTCGTGGGTGGACCCTGTGGTTCATCTGCTTCCTGCACACTCCCCCTCCCAGAGGGGGTATCACCAAGCGGGTGGACCACTTGCTCCTCCTCAGAGGAGCACCCTGAGCCGCTCTCCAGAAGTGCACACCAAGGCAGCTGACCAAACCCACCAGGACCTCTCTGTCCTTTCCCAGCTCAGGCCCCTGCCGGCTCAGGCCCACCCCCTGCCCGGCTCAGGCCCACCCCCTGCCCGGCTCAGGCCCACTCCCTGGCCGGCTCAGGTCCACCCCCAGCCCGGCTCAGGCAGCTGCAGGCCCTCTGCGTGAAGAGCTCCTGGGCTTGCTGGGAGGCGCTTGGGTCTCCAGCATCTCTAACCAGCTCCCGTGGTGGGTGGCACCTGCTGCTGGCCTTTGGACCAACTCAAGCAGCAAGAATTCCCTCCCTGTCCACTTTGGTGCCCTCCGTGCTGCTCGAGAACTGGCTGGGTTCTCAGGAGGCCAGGACCTGGGCTCCGTCTGCCACATTGTTGTGCGTTTTTTTAAATTTTATAGTTGAGAGTATGACAGATGTCCCCCCTCCTGCCCCCCTCTACCCAGTTCCCAACCTGCCCCAGGCCTTCACTCCCTTGCTGTCCGTGTCCACAGTAAGATCTGTGGTTGATCTCTTCCCGCCCTTCCCCCTTTCCCCTGAGAATCGTCAGTCTGCTTCATGTCTCCATATCTCTCTTTCATTCACTAGTTTATTTTGTTCGTTAGATTTCTTGCTCATTATTTTTATTTTTATAGTTAGTTGTTGGTAAATATGTATTTATTGCCATTTTATTGTTCATATATTTTATCTTCTTCTTCCTCTTCTTAAAGAATACCTTTCAGCATTCCATATAATACTGGTTTGGTGGTGATTAGCTCCTTTAGCTGTGAAGCTCTTTATCTGCCCTTCAATTCTGAATAATAACTTTGCTGGGTACAGTAATCTTGGTTGTAGGTTCTTGCTATTCGTCACTTTGAATATTTCTTGCCACTCCTGTCTGGCCTGCATATTTTCTGTTGAGAAATCAGCTGACAGTCGTATGGGTGCTTCCTTGTAGGTAACTAACTGGTTTTTTTTCTTGCTGTTTTTAATATTCTCTCTTTGTCTTTTGCCTTTGACATTTTAATTATGACGTGTCTTGATGTGGTCCTCTTTTGATTCCTCTTGTTTGGGGTTCTCTGTGCTTCCTGGACTTGTAAGTCTATTTCTTTCACCAGGTGGGGGAAGTTTTCAGTCATTATTTCTCCAAATAAGTTTTCAATATCTCGTTCTCTCTCTCCTTCTGACACCCCCATAATTCTGATGTTGGTGCACTTGAAGTTGTCCCAGAGGCTCCTTACACTATCTTTTTATTTTTGGATTCTTTCTTCTTTTTGCTCTTCTGATTGTGTTTTTTGCTTCCTCATATTCCACATTGTTGATTTGATTCTGAGACCATCTACTGTACTGTTGAATCCCTGTAAATCATTTATTTCAGTTGGTGTAGGCTTCATTGCTAACTGGTCCTTTTTCATGTCTTTGACTTTCTCACTAAGAGCCTTAAAAGTCTTATGAAGATCCTTGAGTAACCTTTTAACTGTGGTTTTGAACTCTGTATCCAAAAGTTTGCTCTCTTCCATTTATTTCGTTTGTGACATGTTTTGTTTGTTTGTTTGTTGTTTGTTTGTCTCCCCATTTTGGCTGCTTCCTTGTGTCTGTTTCTGTGTATTGGGTAGAGCTGCTGTGTCTCCTGGAATTGGCAGAGTGGCCTGTATCCTGTAGGGCCCAGTGGCTCAGACTCTCCAGTCACCTGAGCTGGGCACTCTAGGTGTGCCCCTGTGTGGGCTGAATGCACAGTCTTGTTGTAGTTGAGCCTTGATTGCTGTTGGCATCACTGGAGGAATTGACCTCCAGGCCAATTGGCTGTGAGGACCAGCTGTGACTACAGTGGGAGAATGCTGTGCTGGAGACACCCCTGTGGAGCAGGACTTGCTTCAGTGGGGCTTTGGTGCTCACTGAGTCTGCCCCTTGAGCGGTCACTTAGAGAAGTGTGGAGTTGTAATTGGCTATAGTTGAAGCTGTCGACCAGATGTACTGGCTGTAAGGCCTCCAGATGCAAAGTCTGGAGATGCAAAGTCAGCCACTGCCTGGGCCCTTCTGCAGGAGCTGCTGGTATGGAGGTGCCCAGGTGACGCCCAGCTGTGAAGCAAGACCGGCTCCTGCTATTGCAGGATCGTGAGCCTCTTGTTGAGAAGTATGGGGCACACTGCCACCAGCTGCAGCTTGCTTAAGAGGTTTTAGCAAAGTCTGAAGCCTGAGTAAGGACAGGCCATTTATATGCAAAAGCCACTGCAAACAGGTTGGGGGGGTGCAAATTGGATGGGGCAGGGTCTCTGGGAATCATCAGGCGGGAGCAAACAGATATTGTCCCTCCCAGTCAGCTCTGCAGTCAGAGAGGTCCCAGCACAGCAACAATTATCTCTGAGAGCACCTCCATCTGGGTGAAAGCTGCCCCAAGTTCCTACCCTGATGCCTGACAGACCAGTTCCTCCCTATGTCTGTCTGGGCCCCCCAAAGCCACTGCTCTGAGCCGGAGCTCGGAGCAAGCGGGACCTTGTAAGTTCGTACACAGGCCCTTTAAGAGGAACACCTGGAACTCCAGCAATCTCCTTGTCACTAAACCCCAACCCCCTCTGGCTTTTACAGCCCAAAGTTGTGGGGACTTCTCTTCCCAGCTCTGGGAGCCTGGGCTGGGGTCTGGTATGGGGCTGAGACCCCTTGCTCCTCACAGGCGCCTCCTCAGAGACAATCTCCCCTGATGTAAAAAAAAAAAAAAAAAAAAAAAAAAAAAAAAAAAAAAAAAAAAAAAAAGCCACATGTGGGTGCTGGTCCAGCCCATTCTGTGCTCCTCCCAGTCTCCGTGAGCTTTCTTTAGTTTTCTAGGCGTAGGACTGCCATCAGCCAGGTTTCAGGCGGTTCTGAAGGCTGGTGGTTCTGTGTTTTAGTTGTAATTTTGATGTAGTTGTGGGAAGCGGCGACACTTGTTTGAAAAGATCCTCAGGCAAACCACCTCCTCGCTGGGGTCTCCATGTCCCCTTCTTGCAACTGAAGGTTAGGCTTGAGCTGTGGGGTCTGGGCCAGCTCTGACCTCTACGAAAACTCAGCCACGCGGAGTGCCCGCTCCATGAACTCACTGACTCCCCGCGACAGCCACAGGGACGTGCAGGGCTTCCTCACTCACCGTGGATGCTGGCCCGGCAGCAGCAGTGGGATGGGAGCTGCACATCCCCTCCGGGATCTGCTCTCCTCATGGTGGCCCTTGGCCACCCCCACTGTGTCAGGAGTGACCCCCTCTTCCCCTCCCCCGAGGTACATGCCTCCCCACCCTCCACACACACACACACACACACACACACACACACACACACCATGAGATGGCTCACCTGGGCCTGAAGCAAGCTCTCTTTCTCACGGCTCTTGTCTGCACAGGGAGTTCCGTGCAGTCAGAGGCCGGCCCTACAGGAGCCCACCAGGGGTCTGTCGCCTCGCCCTGGGCGCCTGGCTTCCCCTGAGAACACGGCCACAAGGCCAGGCCGAGCATGTGTCAGAGAGACAGGAAGCAAGTCTGGCTCCCCTCCCCCTCCCTGTGGCTGCCTCCCGCACACGGCCCCGAGGACAGAGCGCTGGGCAGTTCAGAGGCTCGTGGGAGCCTTAGAGGGGCCGGGGCGGGACAAAGTGGTCCTGAGAGGAGAAAGGGCACCCGGGAGCCTGTCCGCAGCTGGCCTGACCCAGACCGCAGCCCACCGCGGGAAGAGCCCTGCTGCCTGGTCCATGCCCTCCTGGGCCCTGGACGTGGGGCTGGGGCCTGGGAGCCGGCTGTTCCTCAGCTCTGGGCTGGACACACGCAGGCCCAACGGCTTCTCGGCCGTGTCCAGCCTGCCTGCCCGGTCTGTGCTCTGAGCGATGGCGGCACCTCTTCCGCGCAGTAACGGACCCTCTTTTTAAATGTTTTCTCTCAGGAAGTTTCTAAAAACCTCACCAAGGAAAACGAGCAGACCAAAGAGGACGCGGGAGGAGTCCGCGCGGAGGCGAACCAGCGAGGAGGCGGGGAGAACTGCTCCCGGGCCGCGGCCCCGCTCCCGGGGGCGGAGGCAGGCTCGGCCCTGCAGAGGGACGCGGCCGCCTACGCCCACCCCGAGGTACGTGCCCCCCCAGCAGGGCCGGGCGGTGCACCGGCCGACCCTCCTGCCACGGCACCTCTGCGGCCGGGCGGGCTGAGCCCTTTGCTCAGTGCGGAGGCCGGGCTCGCGGGCGCAGGGGGCGGGTGAGGAGGCAGAGCAGGAGCTCCCAGGCGCCCTGGCTCGGCGGGGAGTGTCCCGGCCGCCGTCCCCGCGGGAAACGGACTCCGTCTGATGCGATTTGATTGACGCACAACGACCCACTTGCTTCAAAGTTCCTCCCATTTGCGACCGGTCTGCTCCGCGTTACGTGCTGGGTGACCCGCGGTGCCACCTGTGCCGGGCTGTGCCGGGCTGTGCCTACGGTGCCCGGACACAGCTAACTGGGAGCTCACTGGGAGGGCGGAGGGGCAGCGGGAGCGAGTGCGGACGCCACCAGGGGCCGGGGCAGCGGCGGGAGGAGCCGTGAAGGCCACCTCACAGGCTGTCCTGGGGCCCCAGCGGCCAGGCCGGGAGTGCGGGCGGCTGCGGCTGCTGGCACCTGGGAGGGCTGCGTTCCCCGGGGCCTGGCACGTGTAGGCAGCGCAGCCCGTCTAGGCGTGCCGGATGGACAGTGCCGCCATTTGGGGAACTGGGCTCCGAGGGCAGGACAGCAGGCAGCTTGGCCCTGAAGACAGTATGGCGCCTGCACCCTGCCCAGCACGTGACTCAGAACCAACCAGTTCCCGACAAGAGAACAGGGCGAGGGAGGCCTCTAGCTCCTGGCTCTGCCCACGATGACTGCTCTGAGGCTTTGGGGGAATCATAGTCCTTCAGACACAGACACACACACACACACACACACACACACGTGCACACACACACAGAGATACACACACAGAGACACACACATACAGACAACACAGAGACACACACACACAGACACACACATACAGGCAACACAGACACACACACACAGAGACACACACAGAGACACACACACAAACAACACAGACACAGACACACACACACACACACACACACACACACACACGTCGGGGTGTCCCATGTGCTGCCTGCTGGGCCACTGGAGCAGGTCTGAGCTCAAAACCCCCAGGTCGGACGTTTGGGCTGGAAGAGAAGCTGGGGGCACCTCCGTGGCCCTGGGCACCCCCTGCTGCCCAGCGCGGGCGGCTGCTGCCCCTGGCCCTGCCCGGCAGCCCAGCTGAGCTCGCCGCGGTCTCGCTGACGCACCGTGTGGCATGGTGTGGTGTGGTTCGGTGTGGTGTGTGGTGTGAACCAGCTCGGGTTTCCTGAGGGCAGACAGCAAACCAGCCAGACTCCCCATCCCTCCTTGCTCAGCAGAGGCCAGTCCCTCCAAGGCCCAGTCATCACTGCAGGCACACAGTCCACCCAGCCCGGCTGCGGGGACAGAGCCAGGACCCGAGGGGGTCAGTGAGGGGGCCCCTGGGCTCGTCCTCTTACCCCCCTACCCCCGGCCATGAGCCCGGGGGGGGCCAAGGCGCTCAGGTTCCTGCAGCCCATTCCCAGCTTCTCAGGACGGTGGTGGGGGCGGCCGTCCGAGACCTCTCGCCAAGAAGGTCGTGGCCTGGAGGTGCTGAGGGCTCTGGGCGCGGGCGGGAGGGGACAGCCAGGCGCCAGGAATGAAATCACATGCAGAGTCTTGAGTTAACGGGACGAGGAGCCACTGTGGCCGAGAGCCGTGCCAGGAAGGCAGGGAATGACACACGTTCTGGCTGGGCAGTGCGAGGTCCTCCTCCCGGCACTCCCAGCAGGCGCCGCGCCCTGCCCGGCCCTCAGAGCCCGGAACTAAAGCCAGCTCCCGAGGTCTGCCCGGGCGATGAGGCTTTCAGATGCAGAGAGCACCGGGCCCAGAGATACAGAGGGCATCGGGGCCGGCGATACAGGGGGCCAGCGATACAGAGGGCATCGGGGCCGGCGATACAGGGGGCCAGAGATACAGAGGGCATCAGGGCCGGCGATACAGGGGGCCAGAGATACAGAGGGCATCGGGGCCGGCGATACAGGGGGGCACCGGGGCCAGCGATACAGGGGCACAGGGGCAAGAGATATGGGGGCACCGGGCCCAGAGATACAGGGCATCGGGGCCAGCAATACAGGGGGCCAGAGATACAGAGGGCATCGGGGCCAGCGATACAGAGGGCATTGGGCCGGCGATACAGGGGGCCAGAGATACAGAGGGCATCGGGGCCGGCGATACAGGGGGGCACCGGGGCCAGCGATACAGGGGCACAGGGGCAAGAGATATGGGGGCACCGGGCCCAGAGATACAGGGCATCGGGGCCAGCAATACAGGGGGCCAGCGATACAGGGGGCATCGGGGCCAGCGATATGGGGGCACCAGGGCCAGAGATATGGGGGCACCAGGGGCAGCGATACGGGGGCACCGGGCCCAGAGATACAGGGGCACCAGGGCCAGCGATATGGGGGACACCAGGGGCAGCGATACAGGGGCACAGGGGCCAGAGATACGGCGGCACCAGGGGCCAGAGATACGGGGGCACAGGGGCCAGAGATACAGAGGGCACCGGGGCCAACGATACAGGGGGCACTGGGCCCAGCGATACGGGGGTCACCAGGGGCAGCGATATGGGGATGGCCCTTGCACCTCTGGTCCTCCTGACTCCCAAGTCACCTCGACAGCCAGAAACAGGAAGTGGGGGCAGCAGGAGGGGGCAGGCCCTCTCAGGCCCCAGCCGGGGACCCCTGCCTTCCAGCACTTGGTCTCCACTTGCTGCCAGCAGCCAGGGTGCGTGCCTGTGGCTGGGAGGGTCAGCGGAGAGGCCCGCTGCCCCTCTCGGCGGTGGCCCGCAGCAGCTCAGGGACAGGAATGCTGTGCCCTGCGGCTCAGGGCCTGGGACGGAGGCTCTGTTTCCAGGCGGCTCTGCTCCTGGTGATTTCATGGCGCCCGGCTTCGGTGGCTGAGAGCTGGCTGGGCCACACCCCGAGGTCCCCACCACCTCCTGGATGGGCCCCTGCCCTCGGGAGCTGCAGCCTTGGGGCCTGGTTTTGAGCGCACTGGCCCAGGCCCTGCTCAGAGCCGAGCGCCTGTCTCCCCGCAGTGGGCGAAGCTCCGTCCTCGGAGGAGCCACGGGCATGGAGACAGGAGGCCTGGCTCTGAGATGAAAGCAGAGTCTGTCCTTGCTGTTGCCTGGGCTCCATGCTGACCTGCCGCTGTCCCTGAGCCTGGCCGTGGCCTGGCCGCTGTGCCCCTGAGCCTGGCCGTGGCCTGGCCTGGCTGCTGTCCCTGAGCCTGACCGTGGCCTGGCCGCTGTCCCTGAGCCTGGCCGTGGCCTGGCCACTGTGTCCCTGAGCCTGACCGTGGCCTGGCCGCTGTCCCTGAGCCTGGCCGTGGCCTGGCCTGGCCGCTGCCCCTGAGCCTGGCCGTGGCCTGGCCTGGCCACTGTGCCCCTGAGCCTGACCGTGACCGTGGCCGCTGTCCCTGAGCCTGGCCGTGGCCTGGCCGCTGTCCCTGAGCCTGGCTGTGGCCTGGCCTGGCCACTGTGCCCCTGAGCCTGACCGTGGCCTGGCCGCTGTCCCTGAGCCTGACCGTGGCCGTGGCCTGGCCACTGTGCCCCTGAGCCTGGCCGTGGCCTGGCCTGGCCGCTGTGCCCCTGAGCCTGGCCGTGGCCTGGCCTGGCCACTGTGCCCCGCGCCTGGCCGTGGCCTGGCCTGGCCGCTGTCCCTGAGCCTGGCTGTGGCCTGGCCTGGCCACTGTGCCCCTGAGCCTGACCGTGGCCTGGCCGCTGTCCCTGAGCCTGACCGTGGCCGTGGCCTGGCCACTGTGCCCCTGAGCCTGGCCGTGGCCTGGCCTGGCCGCTGTGCCCCTGAGCCTGGCCGTGGCCTGGCCTGGCCACTGTGCCCCTGCGCCTGGCCGTGGCCTGGCCTGGCCGCTGCCCCTGAGCCTGGCCGTGGCCTGTCCCCTCTCTCTGCGGAGCAGTATGAAGAGGAGTTTCTGCGGGAGGAGACCGTGTCCCAGCACGTCAACGCCATCGAGCTCCTGCGGACGCAGCCCCTGGCTCCGCCCGAGCTGGTGCGGCCACGGCAGCCCGTCCAGAGGCAGCTGTCCCTGAGGGGCCGGCCGGCCTCCAAGCCTGCCGTCATCCGGGGCATCACCTACTACAAAGCCCAGGACCCCGAGGACGAGAACGACATCGAAGAGCAGCGTGAGTCGGGCCAGCAGGCCGGGCCGGGCGGGCGCCTGGGCTGCGCGGTCTGAGCCGCCTGTCCGAGAAGCGTGTCCTCAGGCCCTGCCCTCACAGCTCAGAGACCACGAGGGGTGCGGAGTCGCTCCCCTGCCTGCCCCTTCCCGGCACTCCCACCTCTGACTCCAGAAGCCCTGGCCGCCCCCCACTCCCCTCCCCACACCCCAAAGGGCCCAGTCCGAGCTCGTCCCCAGCCCTGCTCACCCAGTTGCTGCCATAATCCTTTTGCCCATCTTTAGCTTGTCTTTTTATCGTTGGTTTGGGAGGCTGGGTGTTTGAGGACAACACCTTGTCAGTCACGTGAGCTGCCAGGCCGTCATGCTGCCTACGGCTGCACCTCGGTGCCTGGATGAACAGAGGCTCACCGCTCACCCACCAGCTCCGTGGAGATCTGCCTCCACGTTCCTTCTCCACTCGCACCCTGCGCCTCCCCTTTCCCCAGGATCACGGCTGAAGTCCACATGCAGCCCCCCAGCCCCCACCGGCTCCCACGGCCCTCTGCCCTCCTCCTGCTGCCCCCCCCCCCAACCCGCCTCTGTCTGCATCAGCCTCCAGGCATGTTCTGGCCCCGGGCCTTCGCACTGCGGCTGTTCCCCCAGAGTTCACTCCCCGCGTCTGCTCCGCTCCCTCGTGTCCCCAGGCCTCTGCTCACCTCCCTCCAGCGAGCAGTGCTGACCACTGTGCCCGCCACCCAGGCCAGCCCCGCTGGCGGACCCTCCGCCCACCAGCTTCCCTCCAGACACACAGCATCGCCCGGGCTGCTGTCAGGGTCCCCCACTGGGCGGCTGTGGGAGCAAGGCCTTCCTCTGCTCACCGCTGTCTGTGCCGCACACACGGATGAGTGGACGACGGGTCCGGCAGGGCCTTCACTTTCTGTCCTCCCAGCCCCACGCCCGCCTTCCTCTGAGGGCCCATCCCTGACTCGGTGCTCTTGTCCTGCCCTGGCCGTTCTCCGAGTCACGCGAGCCTGTTTGCCCCCAGAGGACCCGTTCTCCGGTGGGGACAGCAGCGTGGACTTGCTGATCGAAGACCAGCTGCTGAGACACAACAGCCTGCTGCCCACTGAGCCCCGCAGGCCGGCAGCCGCCCGCCACGGCACCGCTGCACCCGCCGGCGTGTCCGCCCCGCGGCCTCAGGCCTCCCCCTCAGCCCCTGTCCCTGCTGCCTCCGCCGAGCCAGTCCCCACGCCACGGCCAGCCACTGTCCCCCCAGCCCCCGGGGGGGCCCCACCCCCCACCGTGGCCCCCACGGCCACCCCCTCTCCTCCGGCCCCAGCCTCCCTGCCAGCGGCTCCTGGGGACACACGCGCGTCCGCAGCGCCCCCCACCGCGGCCGGGACAGGCTCCCCGGGGAAGGCCGCCCCTGCCGCGGGCACCGCCGGCCCCAGCGCGCTCCCGGAGGACGACATCCGGACCGTCATAGGTGAGCGCCGCCCGCCCGCCGGCCGCCCAGCTTCCCCGGGGCCCAGACCAAAGGGCACGGAGCCAGCGGCGCGGGGCCGGCTGCCTGTCCTGCGTGGGTGCCGGGTCCGGGGGAGGAGTTCGCTGAGGCCACAGGGGAGGGCGCGGCGGGGCCAGGGAGGCTTCCTTTTCTTCCAGCCGTGGGGGGGGGGCGCCTGTGGCTGGGCTGCCCTCCGCATGGGCAGTGGGAGGCCGTGTCCTGCTCAACTCGGCCGGGATCTGAGGGGCCACGACCACCGCGGCCGGGCAGCTCGCCGTGCCCGGGCAGCGCTCCTGCCGTGGGGGAGCGTGCCGGGCCCTCTCCACCGTCACCTTGGGGGGGACAGTTTGCCGGGAAACAGGAACCTGCCCTGGGCCTCCGCTGTGGCTGCAGCCCCTCCCCTCGCCGCCGTCCCCGTCCACCCGCCGGCCTGGCCCCGCCGGCCTCTGCCCGTCCCGCCCTGGGTGTTGCCACCAGTGGGTTTTCCGGTCTGACCCCAGCACGCCTGCGGCTCCCGCCAGCAGGTGGCTGAGAGCTGAGGCCGCGGGGAGCGGGGGGAGGGGACCGTCTCTCCTGTGGGGCAGCGCCCTGTCCAACCAGAGGGCCGGCCTGCGGCCTCAGAGCCGCGCTGCCTCCTGCATCTTGGGTTCCTTTAACCTGAGGTCTGGTTCCCGCAGTCACCGCTCACTGCCCATCGCTGTCGAGTGCCCGTCCGTCCCCGTGTGGGTGACATTCCCTTTCCAGAACTTTCTCTGCAGGCCCAGCCTGTGCCTGCTGCAGCGACCGCCGGGCCGCGGACCCACTGCCTCTCAGGTGGCCGCCATCTGGCGGAGTGGCTCGGCCCCGGGTGACGAGGTGGCGGTTGGGATTTGGGGCTGAGCCGTGTGGCTACTTTGAAAGGAACCTCCTATCCCACGGTGCCCAGACCGGATGCTGTGACCCCCCAAAAGGAAACTGAAACAGAGACATTCCGGAACAAGCGGTCAGAGCCGACCGCTGGCTGGTTAACGAGCGCCAGTGGAGCCCGGCGCGGCGGGAGGAGGGGCCGGGGGACCGGCCGGCGCCTCGGACGCACTTCCCGCCGCAGCCGGGCTGCGTGGCGACGGGGAGGTTGGCCGTCCCGGGTGAGCCGTCGGGAGGAGCTGGACAGTCGGCAGGGTGGCCTGGGTCTCACAGGCTGGGAAACACCATGATCAGGATCTGGGGGAGAAGGACTCCCCACCAAGCACCATCCTGAGAGGGTGGTATGCCCTGCCAGGATCCTGCCGGGCACCCAGACCAGAAATGCCTTAGTCCAGTGGTCGGCAAGCTGCGGTTTGCTGCTCTGTTGACGAATGAGTTTGCCGACCATTGCCTTAGGGAAAAACACTTAAAAAAAACATTTCAATAATGTACTAATGTCTTTAACCTGAAGTCAAAACTTCTGGGTAAGGGTAATAATGCCTTACACAGTGGTGGGCAAACTCATTCGTCAACAGAGCGGCAAACTGCAGCCCTCGGCCACATGTGGCTGGCGAGCCACAGTTTGCCAGCCACTAACCTAGTCGATGCCCAGTCCTCTGCCCAGCAGCTCCTGCCCCGGCTCCCCTGGGCAGCGGCACGGCCCACCTGGCTTCCCGCAGCCGCTGGGCCGGCGTCGGGAGGCGGTGCTTCCCACCGGCCGTCCATTTCGTTGTCGAGCTGATGAGCTCGGCGGGTGGCCCTGCTGATGGTCTCACAGGGACAGGGTCCCCTCCACTGTCCGGCCAGGGCCTAAGCCCCTCCAGCTGCCTGCTCCCAGTCCACAGGCCCCCACTGCGGGTCCGACAGGAAAAACCACTGTCCTCTCGCAGCCTGGCTGTCCCGTCCTGACCGCGGGCCTCCTTCCTGGACCGCTGGCGGGAGCAGAGCCACAGGACAGACTGGCTCAGCTTGGAAATAGGGGCTGGGACTGTGAGAACCGGGCTGGATGTCAGGGAGCAGCTGGGGCCCAGGCAGTGAGGTGTCATGGTCTGGCTGCCAGGCTGGCAGAGTCGGACACTGGCTCAGACCCACGGGTGCAGCACGACGAGCGTGTGCCCTCTGTCGTCACGCGTGGTCTTGGACATTCAAGCTTTCGCTCGGCCCAGAGCCAGCATGTCCTCGGGCTGCGAGGCCTCGACTGGGCCCAGGTTGCTCCAAAGAGCCGCGCAGGGCTGCTGAGCTGCTGGCCATTGAGACAGACAGACTGACCTCACCGGGACCCAGCCCTGAGCGAGCGCTGCCACGTCCTGTGGAGGGCACAGGCACGAGGGTCCAGAGGGCTGGTCTCTGGGCCGAGCCTCCGGGGCAGCTCAGGGCTGTGGACGGGGCTCCAGGCCCTGCCTGCTGTCCTGTCCTCACGAGCCGAGCCCCGGCGTCGGCCAGCGCTGGGGGGAGGTGCGGGTGTGCCTGTGAGAGGCTGTGGCATCCATCGGGAAGGGCACCGCAGGGTCCGCAGGGCTGGGCTGGGGGAGAAGTCGGAGGCGGGCGGCGGGCGCGGGGGCGGCCCGGGAGGCGGGCGCGCAGGCCGGAGCGGAGCGGCAGAGCCCGGGCTGGTGGCTGCTGAGCCCGGAGTCCGGGCTCCGGAGGAACCGGCGGAGGCAGGGCTGTCCCCCTCACCCACCTCCCTCCCCAGGAAGGTGCAAGGACACGCTGTCCACCATCACGGGGCCCACCACCCAGAACACGTTCGGGCGGAGCGAGGGCGCCTGGATGAAGGACCCGCTGGCCAGCGACGAGCGCATCTACGTCACGGACTCGGCGTACGGCAGCACGCTGGTGGAGTTCCGGAACCTGGACAACTTCCGGCAGGGTGCGTGCCCCAGCCCGCCCCCCTTCCGCCGTCACGCGCGGGTGTGCCTGGCCGAGAGGGCCTCTGCCCGCACAGCCCCCCCTGGACGGGCGGCCCCAGAGCGCGCCACCCGCTGCCCCGGGGCCGGGGTGGGGTGGGGTGGGGCCGGGGTGGAGTGGGGTGGGGTGGGGCCGGGGTGGGGTGGGGTGGGGCCGGGGTGGGGTGGGGCCGGGGTGGGGCCGGGGTGGGGTGGGGTGGGGTGGGGTGGGTGGGGCCGGGCCGGGGTGGGGCCCCAGGACCACCGGTGCAGACCCTCGCGGTCCGCCCGGGCCGCGCGCTGAGCCCCCGCCCCCGCAGGCCGCTGGAGCAACTCGTACAAGCTGCCCTACAGCTGGGCGGGCACGGGCCACGCGGTGTACGGCGGCGCCTTCTTCTACAGCCGCGCCTTCGCCCGCACCCTCATCAAGTACGACCTGCGCCGCCGCTTCGTGGCCGCCTGGGCCCTGCTGCACGACGTGGCCTACGAGGAGGCCGCGCCCCGCAGCTGGCAGGGCCGCTCCGACGTGGACTTCGCCGTGGACGAGAACGGGCTGTGGCTCATCTATCCCGCCCTGGACGAGGAGGGCCTGGGCCAGGAGGTGATCGTGCTGAGCAAGCTCAACGCGGCGGACCTGAGCACCCGGAAGGAGACGACGTGGCGCACGGGGCTGCGGCGCAGCCTGTACGGCCACTGCTTCGTCATCTGCGGCGTGCTGTACGCCGTGGACAGCCACCGCCAGCGCAACGCCAGCATCTCCTACGCCTTCGACACGCACACCAACACGCAGATCGTGCCGCGGCTGCTGTTCGAGAACGAGTATTCCCACACCACGCAGGTCGACTACAACCCCAAGGACCGGCTGCTCTACGCCTGGGACAACGGCCACCAGGTCACCTACCACGTCATTTTCGCCTACTGACCCGCCGAGCACTGTGCCCGGCCACTGCACCTTTAGTGCATTGCACGTGTGTGTGCACTGCACGTGTGTGTGTGTGAGTGTGTGTGTTTACATGTGTGCACGTGTGTGTGCAGATGGGCAAGTGCTGTTCAAAAACGTGTTGTTTGTATATGTAAAGTGACAGTTCGGGTCTATTTTTTTATATGGGTTGTAGATCGACCCGCGCGTGTGTGCTGGCTCATCCTCCGCAGTTTATATTTTTGAGCAAATGAACTTCTCCTTGGGCCAGTGACGCCCTCCCTCGGAGCCTCCGCCCTCTGGCCCCGCTGGTGAGGCCTCCGCGTGCCGCTTGTGGCCAAGGCACGCAGGGAGCGAGGGAGGCAGGAAGGCAGGGGCGGGGAAAGTTATGTGCTGGAGAAGTTTCAAAAACCCAGAAAATGCTTTTTTAAATAAAGAAGAATTTAAAATGACCCCTGTGTGTTTCTGTTCAGCGCTGAGGCCTGTCCGGGCTGGGCCCTCCGGGAGGAGGCACCCCACGTGGGAGCTGTTCTTCCTGTCCGTCCCCCCACCGGGGGGGCTGGTGCTGGTGCTGAGATGCCAGCGGTGGGGCTGGTCCTACCCTCCCCGGAGCTCGCCATCAGTCACTCCCTGTCAGTCCAGAGTCCCCTCCTCGCCCGACAGCCACGGTCAGCCAGGCTTCCCCCCTCTTCCCCTCAGAGGGGGCTGGTCTGAGATAAGAGGTGTGCTGTCCGCCGGCATGCCCGTCCTCCAAGCACAGACACACAGACACGGGACAGAAAGGGCCTCCTGAGGCTGTGGCAGGCGGCCCCCTGTCCCCAGCCGCTCCACGTGGCGTGCACAGACCTCCTGGCCCCCACAGCACTGCCACGAGCAGACCGGAGAGGTGCCATTTCTCAGTTTGGTTTGTACGGGACTTCACGGCGGGGCGGGAAGCTGGGCCAGGATGCCGTGTGGCAGGCGAGGGCGGTGCTCTCTGTTGTCTGTCCTCCACTGTCCACGTGCTTCCTCGTGGCCATCGGCGAGCACGGTTTGCGTGGTGCTCGTGGCCCAGCTCTGCGGGAATGCACTGAGTCCCGCCTGGCCGGCCGCACACGCTCCCGGAGGGTGGCACCGCGGGCTGGCCAGTGTGTGGGGGGGGGAAGGGGCTGGCTGGGCGGGGGCGGAGCAAGGCCCTGGGAGCCGTTTTCCCTCTGACCTGGCTGAGCTTGGCTGGAGGCTGGGCCTGCTGAGCCCCAGGAGAGCCTGCAGTACCTGGGGAGCTGGAGGAGCAGGAGGTCCGCCTGCTGCCCTGGAACCAGCCCCATCCTCAGCCTCCTGCGCCCCCGGAGCACAGAGGCCCCAAAGCCAGAGGCGGGAGGTGCAACCTCTGTCCCCTGGTCAGAGGTCAGAGGCCACTGGGAGGGAGTTGTAAGGATACAGGCCATGCCGCTGGGGGGGAGGGGCTACACCATCCCCTCTGGGACCTGGACGGCATTTCCACCCCACGGGGCACTCAAGCTGCCCCTCTTCTCTCTGCCCCTCGCCCTGCACGTGCCCAGCATGGCCGCTCAGCTGTGCCAGGAGCCCCGCAGCCTCCCAGCGTGTCTCCGCCTCCCTCAGTGCGTGGACGTGATTCCTGCTCGGGGGCTGAGGACCCCAGGATGTCCTGGCTGCCCTCCCAGGGCTCTGCACACACACCCTCCGCCGAGGAGCCACTCGGGTGGCTCTCAGCACAAGGCCGGGGGGTGCTTGCAGATGCAGCCGTTCCTGGGCACCAGTTCCCGGAGCCCCTTCCCAGAGGCCTCGCCAGCCCATGGCCCGTCACCTCTCACCACCCGCTCCTGTGCGGCCGCCCGGGGACACGCTCCCACAGGAGACCCGGCGGGAACGGGGCGCCCCTGCCTCGGGCACACACGCGGCGCCCTAAGGCTCCTCGCCACGGCCCCACCTCGGCTCTCAGAAAGCAGCTCTGACGGGAGTGCCGACCGCAGAACTGGGGGCTGTGCTGACACCCCACCGTCCTGTGCCCTCTCCAGCGGTCCTGTCTTCTGCCTGCTGTGCCAGCTGGCTGCCAGGCACAGCGTGTGCCCGCTGTTCTTCGCAGATGGCATGTCCTGAGCACGTGGTGATGGTCACGCCCGGTCAGGGTTTTGTCTGCAAGACTCTCCCCAGGGACTCAGCACAGGAACGCTGGCCCAGCGGGAAGCCACCAGCAACCCCAGAACCAGAGCCGGTGTGGGGCTGGGTGCCCAGCCGACTTCCTCTGTGAGCCCCGCCCAGCCAGGGACGGAGGACGGGCCATGCGGCGCTGCTGAGGGGCCGTGGCCCTGCCCACGAGCCGGCACTGGTCCCGAGGCCGCTTTGGGCCACAGCTGCTGCCCCCTAATCCACACGATCCTGCACCCCTCCTCCGCCCGCTCCTGCACCCCCTCTTCTGCCCCCAACTCCTCCCCCTCCTACACCCGCCCTTCACCCCCTCCTCCTCCCGCTCCTGCGCCCCCTCCTGCGCCCCCTCCTGCGCCCCCTCCTGCGCCCCCTCCTCCTCCCGCTCCTCCTCCCGCTCCTCCCGCTCCTCCCCCCCTCCTCCTCTGGCTCCTCCCCCCGCTCCTCCTCCCGCTCCTCCGCCCGCTCCTCCGCCCCCTCCTCCTCTCGCTCCTGCGCCCGCTCCTCCGCCCCCTCCTCCGCTCGCTCCTCCTCCGCCCACTCCTGCGCCCGCTCCTCCCCCCCTCCTCCCGCTCCTCCTCCCGCTCCTCCCGCTCCTCCGCCCCCTCCTCCCCCCGCTCCTCCGCCCGCTCTTCCGCCCCCTCCTGCGCCCGCTCCTTGCGCCCCCTCCTTGCGCCCCCTCCTCCGCCCGCTCCTCCACCCCCTCCTCCGCCCCGCCATCCTCTGGTCTGCCCCGCCCTCTTCTGGTCTGCCCCGCCCCCCTCTGATCTGCCCCACCCTCCTCTGGTCAGCCCCGCCCCCCTATGGTCTGCCCCGCCCTCCTATGGTCTGCCCCGCCCTCCTCTGGTCTGCCCCGCCCTCCTCTGGTCAGCCCCGCCCCCCTCTGATCTGCCCCACCCTCCTCTGGTCAGCCCCGCCCCCCTATGGTCTGCCCCGCCCTCCTCTGGTCAGCCCCGCCCCCCGATGGTCTGCCCCGCCCTCCTCTGGTCTGCCCCGCCCCCCTCTGGTCAGCCCCGCCCTCCTCTGGTCTGCCCCGCCCTCCTCTGCCCCACCCCCTGGTCCAGCTCTTTGCTGACTCTGAGGATTCACACAGCGGCTGGTTCCCTCTCCGCCTTCACCTCTAGGGCCGCGTTGCTCTGTGCACCTGGGCGCATTTGCTAGGTCTTGGCCTCAGAAGACTCGGCGCTCGGCTGTGGAACTTTCCTGCAACAGCCATCACCTGGGGAGGTGCCGGCAGTCCCGTGGCCAGGCCACATCCGGACCAGGACCCGGGAGTATGGGGTGGAGCCAGGCAGCAGCATTTCTGAAGAGACCCTTCCCCCAGGCCTCCAGCTCACAGCAACGTGTGGGAGGCTCAGACTGACCGGTCTTCAGAGCCTCGACCCCAGCCAGGGGAGCTGCCCTGGGTGCCCACCAAGGGCACTGGGCTCTCAGGGAACACCTGCTCCAGGGCGGGCTGACAGGGTACCCACCACCATGGCAGGCCGGTGCTGGCGCCAGACGGACCAACACCTTCTCCCCTCCTCCCTGGACACAGCCCTGGCTGTGAGGGCTCATCTCTGGTTCCTGCCCTCAGCTGGTGTGCAGCCCTTGAGCCCCTGAATCTCAAGATGGACCCTGTGGGCCTTCAAAGAAGAGTGGTGGGCAATATTGCTAACCCCAGCAGCCACCAGCAGGCCCGCCTCCGTCTGAGATGTCCCTCAGCCTCCTCTCCGACAGAGGCCTGCCCGGGGCTTCTCACACTCAGAGTCCAGCCGATGGCTGTGCCCACCTCAGCCGACTCGGGAGGCCTGAGTCGGGCCACAGAACTCGAGGTAGTAAGTTCTGGTGCCGCCGCTGCAGATCCGCTGGCCCCAGCCTCCTCCTCAGCCTCCTCCCGGGCCACCACCACCGCTCCAGGCATTGGCTCAGCGATGGGGCCAGGGAACCGCGCCGCCTCCGCCCCCGTCCCCACAGCCTGCCTCAGCACTGGGCAGCGTGCCCGTGGGGGGGCATGTGGTGTCAGGGCTGCCACACCAGGAAGATGCCGGGAAAAACGGCATCTGCCTGTGGCTTCCTAAGCGCTCAGTAATTCAACTCAACCAAAAGCACCGGGTTAGCCTAGCGTGCCGGGCTCTGGGCAGAGCCTGGGGGTCCCGTCCGCAGGGTTTGGAAAGGAGGACTGGGTTCTGCTCTGGGAGCAAAAACACCCAACTTCCTGCAGGGTTTCCCTCGGCCCCTGCACCCCCGCTTGTGCCAGACTGTGCGTCCTGGGGAGGTGGATGCGCCGCCAGCTGTGGGCGCCCAGGTGGCTGTGAGGCCGGCGTTTCCGCTTCCTTCCTGCTCACACGGTGGGCAAACTCGGGGCCCTGCTGAGCATGGCGTGGAAACAGCGCAGGAGGAGCTGGGACGAGGCTCCCTCAAGTCTGAGGGAGCTGGTCAGAGCAGGAGATTCCAGCGTCTCTGGGAAACAGGACAGTGGGATGGCGTTTGCCTCTGTCCTGGAACCGGCAGCCAGCGTGCGGCGAGCTCCGCGGCCACCCAGAGTTCCGGGAGCCGCTGCGTCTGGCAGCTCCGCCTCTCGGTCTCAGGAGCCCACCCTAGCGTGGATCCGCACTGCCCGTGGGAGCGTGGCCCCTGCAAGAGACCGCCTTCACCTGCCTTTGAGGACGAGGGCGTGGCCGGTTCGCCAGCCCACTTCCCTCGGGTCCATGGACACCCAGCGAGGCAGCTAAGACAGGAGAATCAGAGTGGCCTGGAGGCCCTCGGTCTCCCCGTGGGACAGCTGACGTTTGCAGACAGGCTGGGCCTGAGGACCAGCGGAGCCGTCAGCCTCGGGGCCTGCATGGGCCCCGCCTGCATCGTCCTGCAGGGCTCCGTGGCTGAATGTGGGTGAGACTCCACCATGGCACCCTCTCCTCTGGGCCAAAGCCTTCAGTGCTGGGTCTGCAGATGGTGATTTCGACACCAGCCTCCTCACCATCTCCTAGCCCCGCATCCACGCCTGGATGCAGCTCTGCAGCGAGAACACGGGACCCAAAGAGCCAGCAGCAGCCCAGGAGGCGGGGAATGTCAGCCGAGCTCTGGGACTTGTGCAGAAGGGGGCCTTCAATCCTGGCAGCAGCCAGCTCTTCACCTCTGGGGGACACGGCAGGATGGGACTGAGGTCCGGGCAGCCAGGCAGCAGCCCTGGGCAGAGCTTCCCCCGCGCCCTCAGCACACACCTCTGAGGGGACGAGCTGTCCCAGAACCTGCCAGCACTGGCCCCGGCCGGGGACCCGCCTCTGAGCCTGCCTCACACCCACTCTCCCGGAATGCTGCGTTCTTCGCTGCTGGTGCCTCCTTCCAGCTATAAAGGCCGGGCAACATGGCACAGGAGGAAGGGCGTGGCCCTGAGGCAGGACAGCTTGGCCAGCTGCCCATGTCTCCATGGGATACGGGACAGGGACTCATGTCATGAGGCTGCACACCTCTAAGGCTCCATGCAGGTCAGTGGCCTCACTGCAGAGGCGACCGGGAGAAGGGCACGCTGTGGGTATGAGGGAGATCTCACCAGATGCTCAAAGAGAGGACGCAACACAAACACAGGGCGTGGCCCCAGGCCAACAATGGAGGCGCCGTCAGATGACGACAGGGTGCGAGCCGGAAGAGCCTGCTATGGCACCACGGATGGTGCGGCCAATGCCACTTGCGGTTGTCCTTTGAGATCCCCACATCCCCTTTCAGCAGGAAGTCCTGTGGGCACTGCTGTGGGACCTGGTGGCTGGGTGTGTGTGTATGGGGGGCGGGGGGTAGAACCTGGGGGCTGGTTCAGGGCGGGGGGGGGAGGGGGTAGGACCTGTCCAGGGCTGGTGTCCTGTCACTCAAGCATCTGAGCTTGTACAGTGACTGTATTCATGTGTCTGGCTCACGAATGAACATGAACTCAGGAGGCAGACCAGGGGGTGAAGAGCATGCAGGGCCCACACACCAGCCTGGAAGCGGGTTCGGGAGGACGAAGGGCAGCGTGAGTGAACACGGGCGGCGGCATGCAGGCAGAGGCCTGGGTGGGGCTTGAAAGATAAGACTGAGGCCAGAGACCAGGACACAGGCTTTATTGAGGAGAAGACCTGCCGGGCTGCCTTCCAAGAGAAAGAGCACACGTGCTGGGTGAACACGACTTCGAGGGGAGGAAAAGGAAGGGACGGGGCTCAGGGACCTAGGGACTTGGGGTATTTGGCAGGTGCTGATTGGTGGTTCAATGCACAGTCCATATCAGGTGCCTGGTTAGGTGCTCAGGAATGTCTGGCTGCAGGTACAGGTTACGTCATCCTCCCTCCATCAGTTGGGTGAAGGGAGGACCTATCGTTCCAGGCTTTTGATAAAATTAAAAAAAAAAAAAAAAATGAAAGTCTAGGCAAGGTCAGGGAGTGAAGGTCCATCTTCCGTAACAGCTTCCAGCTGAGAGGGGGCGTCGTTAGGGGCATCTAACCGGGGTCTCAAGGATTCTGGTGTTCGGTTCTGAATTCAGTGCCAGATAGCTCTCTCCCACCTTCTGGCTGGCGAATGCCTGCATTCTGTTCTTCAAGAAACTAGTGAAACAAAGCATGAGACAGGGGCCAAAGAGCAAAATTAAGAGTATAGATACCAGTGGGCCTAATAGTGGAAGGAGTCATGGGGTATGTGAGAAAAAAAACAGGCAGTGTTTCCGTGCTGGATGAGTGGTGCAGCAGCATGATTTCCCCAAGGGACTGGTTGGTGACATCTTGAGAGCAACCCTGTTGAGTCACTTGGGACATAAAAGCGGTCCTGAGGCTGCCACAGCACCACTTGTCTGCTTTCGCTGCTTTTCTGGAGCTGAAATACAACTGAGACCTAGATGTTTTTAGGGGAAAAGAGTAGGGGGCTCAGTGGCCTCACTAGTGATATGAAAGGGGAGAATAGGTTACCCCTTTCATATCACTAGTGAGGGAGTGAGGTTCTTGTTTTCCCAGTTTTGCCCCTTGCTGGGCATCCATGTTTCTTGTAGGTCCTGAGACGGGGTTTCAAAGTAGGTAGGGCAGTGGTTAGCTCCCTGAGGCAGTCCCATCTCCTGCTGTGATGCCGAGGGTTGTGAGGAGAGGGGTTATCTGGACTGCCCTTTTATGTCAGACACGATGGGTTCCCGCTGCCTCCTTCAGGCAGAGTGGACGCAGGAATAGAAGAGGCTGTGGAGGAAGGCAGCCTTTGGGCCAGAGAATGAGTGAAAAGGCTGATTTGAGCTCTCAGGGACTGGGGAGAAGACAGCTGCTGGTTAGAGGGTCTGAAGAGAAAGAGCTTAGGCATTTTTCAATTTGAGAAAAATCAGAGAGAGAGAAGGGAAACGGCCACCTGTGAATTAGGTTGCTGGCAGTCACGGGGCAGAGATTAGGCAGAGGGCACAGGGGAAGGCAGGCTCAGGAGCTGGCCCCTCCCACAATGAGGGCAGGACTGGAGGGGCTGCGCAGGGGGGTGTGCAAGCACCGCTGCTGGTCAGTGGGCGGGACCAGTGTGTGAAGGGGAAAAAATGGTTAAACATACTCCCAGAGTCCTCCTGCACTCCCGTGCTGCCCTGGGTAAGAGTGCTGTCAGAGGGACAGGTTTAGGGTTGTGAGGAGGTGGGACACATGGAGATATATGATCTGCTGGGTTGAAAGAGTCAGGAGACAGAGAAAGGGGTTTGAGAGGGCAAAGAGGACTTCCAGAGGAGGATCTGGTGGTGGAACATGCGGAGTAAAGCGAGGGGGGAGAGCGGAGGTGGGGGGAGGGAAGCCTGTTCGTAGGATCTGAGGCTCGTCCGGTGGCAAAACTGAAAGGTGTGGATTGAGAGGTTCCCATGACTGGAGGGAAAGGGCCACCGAGAAGCTGGGGAAGGAATAAGAAGCGTCCTTTTCTCTCAGCCAACCCGTAGAGAGAGAGATGAGAGGAGGTTCCAAAGTCATCACAGGAAACCTTCCCCGTGGAGAAGAGCAGTTTCCCGGCAGGCACCTGGGCTTTCATAGAACACAGAACGTGTAGCCGTGTAGATGGGGAAACTGAGGCCCTTCCAGGCCAAGGGAACCAGTTCGGGGGGAGGGGGCCAGGAAGATCCCTGAAACCTACTGGTTAGAAGGAAGCAACGAGATTCCCACGTGTCCTGGTACGGCCGATTTTGAGAAATGTTCTGAACGGGCCAATCAACTCAGGACCATACTACCGAGCAGGCCCAGAGCAGGAGTCAGAAGTTCGGGGGCCAGGTTCTTGGACACAAATATGAAAGGTGAAACGGGGCTGGAGACCAGGGTACCAGGACACAGGCTTTATTGAGAAGATCCTGCCGGGCTGCCTTCCAAGGAGAAAGAGCTGGGTGAACACGCCTTTGAGGGGAGGAAAAGGAAGGGATGGGGCTCAGGGCACTCAGCACACGCTGGTTGGTGGTTTCATGTAAGGCACATGATTAGGGACCTAGGGACTTAGGAATCGGGGCTTAGGGTATTTGGCAGGTGCTGATTGGTGTTTCAATGCAGTCCATATCTGGTGAGGAGCTCAGGAATGTCCGGCTGCAGGTACAGGTTATGTCATCCTCCCTCCATCAGTTGGGGGAAGGGAGGACCTATCAGGGCTGAATCCCCAGCTCCACAGGAGGATAAAAAGTGAGTCTTTAGATCATTTGTTTTCCTTACAAGGACCATAGTTCAAATATCTGGACACAGGAAAGGAAGCTCTTAGTCACCAGCTGGAGAATTCAGCCACTCCACCTCGTCAGCGGCTTTAGGCTCGGCCTCGTTACTGACCCTTCACACGAAAAACTCATTTAATCTTCTTTTCAGAGCAAAACAAGGGCGTTTAAAAACTCTTTATTTGCATTTCAGACACAGGCGAGTGGTGCACTTCAGGGTGCCCAGAGGCACAGTCTGTCGCCACTGCTGCTGCTTGTGCCGCAAACCAGCACGGCTGCCAGGAGCCGCACGCCGCTCGCCCTCACCTCCTCTGCCAGCACCGGCCACAGGCCCTTCCTCTCAGGCCTCACCTTCCCGCCTGGCGCCCTGGCGGCCCAGTCACTCTGCCAGCGTGATGCCAGCAGGAAACCACCGAGGTGCCAGGCGGACTCCCGTGGTGATCCACCTGCAAGTCCGGGCACCCTGCGGGCCAAACGTCCCAGGTGCGCCTGCCGAGGGGCCTGCTGACCTGTCGGGAGTTCACAGTGCGACAGGCCCAGCCTCCTGGTTGAACTAATGGCCGCCAACTTCAGGGACAAATGCAAAATGGGGAGCTCGTGACCCTGGAAATGATTCTGTGGCTCTCGAGGAGCTGACTCCCTAATGCTCACAGCAAACACGCGCGGAGCATCCCCGCGCCTGTCGGGGGCTGACAGGTCCCACGAGCTGCGGCCTGTGCAGAGCCTTCTCACCGCCTTGTCCTCACCCGACAGCCGCCCCGAGGGCTCGGACACCAGCACACACCGGGAGTCCTGCTCTCACCCGGAGCGAACCTGCTGGGCAGCGCCCTGCGGCCGAGTCGGGATTCTGCTTCCCAGCAAATTAAAGCCACCACACAGCCAGGGAGGGGCCAGAAATGCCCACCCCACGTTTACTGGGGCAGGAATGAAAATTTCTATCCATGGTCTTTCTCTTAGGCCTGGATAATTAGCGTCCTTGTTAGAAGCAAGATCCTCGACTTCTGTAGGTTAGAAGGACCCATCACTGACAACAGTGTCCTTTTGGTGAAAGTAACGAGGGGCCTTGAGGGGGGAAAGAGTCTCCGCAGGGAGGCCTCAGCGGACTCTGCCGGCTAATGCGTGTCAAACAGCCGAGAACCAAAGGCCGCTTCAGAGCCAGCTCCTCCGAGCCTGCGGCCGGCGGGAGGGGCCGTCCCGGGAGGAACTGGGAGGCGGAGGCCGCTGACACTGCCATGTGTGATCACGTATGAGGACAAGTGGGTCCCTGCAGCTTTCCAGTCTCGCTGTCCCGCGTGAGCGTGGGAGGAGGGAGCAGGGCTGGGCGAGGCAGAGCCGGCTGGAGCTCAGGCGGCACAGCACCTCTAAAGGACGGAGACACGGAGCCCCAATCCTCTGCTGCTCCTGAGGAACGCTGCTCAGGCGCCGGAGGGACTGGTCCCTTCCCGCCTCACACTCCTCCCTGCCTCCTTTTGCCAACAAGCAGCTGGGAGCCGCTCAGTAGGGCCTGTGGGCACTGCCAAGGTCAGAGGGTGTGTGCCTGGGCGCACCACAGGTTACAGCTACAGGCACAGCGCGTGACAGGTGCATGGCGGACGCCGGGCGTGGAGACCATGCCGCAGCTGCTGGGCCCCCCTCGGTCCCGGAGCCGAGCTTGCCTCGCTGACCTGAGACCCCGACTCCGCAGGCAGCACACCTGGGGCAGCCGACCTGCCTCCTCCAGAGCAGCCTGTGCTCCTCGCAAGCATGCACACTCCACAAAGAAAGGAATAAATTAAACCGTCATAGACACATGTTCCCAGAAGCCTGGCTCCTGAGGGCGTGCCCTCGTCTCGGAGAGAAGGGCTCCCAGCCATGGGACCCGACAGCGCAGCCTCTGTCCCACCCGCCCTCGCCTGACGCCCCGACCCCACGCGGAGGCGCTGCCAGCTCTGGACAGGCCGCGTCCTTGGCGGGGGAGCAGGTCCCGAGCACCTGCGGAAGCTGGGCACGGACAGAGCTGCGGGGAGGGGGGGGAGGAGGGGGAGGCAGAGCCCTGCGCGGCTCAGTGCAGAGGAGGGTGCCCGAAGACCACCCACACTGTGCCCACACCAGCTTGATCACAGCCCTTGCCCAGCTCATCACATGAAGGAGGGTGAGGAAGAGAAGGGGGAAGGGAAGGAGGGGGGTGGAGGGGGAGAAGGGAGGGGGAGGAGGGAGGGGGAGGAGGAGGAGGGGAGAAGGGAGAGAAGGAGGGAGAGGGGGAGAGTGTGGGGGAGAAAGAGGAGGAGGGGGAAGTGGAGGGGAAGGAGGAGGGGGAGGAAGAAGAGGTGGGGGAAGTGGAGGGGGAGGTGGAGGAGGAGGGTGAAGGGAAGAAGGAGGGGAGGAGGGAGAGGAGAAGGAGGGGAGGGAGGAGGAGGAGGAGGGGGAGAAGGAGTGTGAGGAAGAGGAGGACGGGGAAGTGGAGGGGAGAAAGGGGGGAGGAGGGAGAAGAGGAGAAGAGGGGGGAGGAGGGGGAGAAGGAGGGTGAGGAAGAAGAGGGGGAGGGGGGGAGGAGGAGGACGGGGAGAAGAAGGGGAGGAGGAGGAAGGGGGGAAGGGAGGAGGAGGAGGGAGAGGAGCTGCCCAGTGGTTACAGCTCCGCCCGCAGGGCGCTCTGCCCTCTCTCCGGAGAGGTGACCATGAATGAGCTGGGAGTGAAATGCCCGCAGCCTCTCAAGCGGCGAGGCCCTGGGCTCCGCTGAGGGAGTGCCCTGGCGGCAGCGGGCGGCTCCGCACCCGGTCAGCAGGGAAGACCATCGCGGACACCACGCTCCTGGCTGTGGCCCCGCCAGGGGGTGCACTGAACGCGCTGGGGGCGGGGGGGGGGGGCTGCCCGGGCTGAGCCCACGGGAAGGACTCACACTCACGCGCACACACACACACACGGAGGCGCAGGCCGCTCGGAGTGGCGGAGATGTGCTTGAGCCACACGGGAGGGGACAGGGCCACACGGCCAGAGGCTCTGGGGCGGCACAAGGCTCTCGGGACAGGCCCGTGGGGGTGGGCAGCTCCTCTCCTCGTCGCCAGATCCGTCCGGAGCTCTCGGAGCCCTGGCGGTAGCGGAGCACCGTGGCTCCCGGGCTGCGGGTGCTACTGCAGCGAGCCGGGGAGGGTGCTGAGCAGGCGGGCGGCCTCGGCGGCCGCGGGCGCTGAGCGGAGGGAGCCGGTCTGGTTCTGCTGCTCGGCTCGGAGCGGGGGCGGCACTGAGGAGCTCTTGATGTGGAGGACCCTGGTGTCCATCACCTGGCAGTCGATCTGCATCATCACCTCGTAGTCCTGCCCGTTGATGACGTTCTCTGTGGAGGAAACAGCAGGTGAGCTGGCCCCGGCGCGGGCCCAGTGCCACAAAGGAGCCCGCACCCCGCCCAGGCCCAGCGCCCCGGCCGGCGAGCAGTGGCCCTGGGCTGGGGCTGCATGGAATGGCCTGGTTGGGGGACAAGCAATGTCCAGCGGGGACTGAAGGGACTTGTAGGGAAAAGGCAGGCTCATTGCAGAAGGAAACGAAAAGCCACACACAGCCACATCTGCACGTGTGGGGAGACCACTTACCAGGAGGCCACTGCAGCAGACACTGCCCTGGCCACGCTCACTTCCAACGGGCCGAAGCCCTCCTTTCAGGGAGGCCGCTTTCTAACTGCGGTGCATGACACGTGGCAGCAGCCCTGTGAGGGTCACAGACAGCCTCTCCCCGCCCACTGGCCGGCCGCAGTGAGCCCGAGGGGCTGTCAGCGTGACACGCGCTGGGCAGCCACGTGGACCCTCATCTGCATTTCCATCGGTGAATCCGGAGCTGGGGGCAGCCTCATCCTGCGAGGCCCAGCAGGGGACACGACGTGGGTGGGTGGAACCCTCTCTCCTGCACCTCCCTTTCCTGGGGCTGCTGCGAGCGCCACGCGTCAGCGGGAAGGCGGTGTCTGCCGGGCACCAGCTGGGGCGCCGGGGACCGGGCGCTCGGGGAGGCCTGTGTGCGGCTTTGGGAGCCCACGCTCCGAGCTGCAGGTGCACTTCTGAGACGCCCCGTCATCTCAGGGAGCGCACCCCCCAAATGTTAAAAACTAATCAGATCTCATCACCCATAACTTGGTCTTGAGCAGATGCTCCAGTTTAAAGCTGACAGAAACATCACTCCTCCACTTTTATGGGTTGGTTATCTGTTCCAATCCTTACAACAATCTCAGGCTGATGAGTTCCCAGCCTCGCACAGCCTCTCGTTACAGTCAGAGCAACTCCCTGCCCCGGGCTCCGCTGGCAGCTCCTCGGGCCAAGCAAGCCTTTCCTCTCCGGAGAATGCAGCCCGATGCCTGAGAGGGAGCTGTTCCCTAGCAACGTGTTTCTTCCCCAAAAGGAGGCAAAAGACAAGCTGCCGATGTGCTTATAGTCAATTCAGATACCACACAGTCATCTTTTAGAACCAGGGCCCCTCCCATTTATTCCATTTCATTCTTTCCTTTTGTAATCCTCACCCGGGGATATTTCTCCATTGATTCTTAGAGAGTGGAAGGAGTGAGAAAGACACAGAGAGAGAGAGACATCGATGTGAAAGAGACACATCAACTGGTTGCCTCCCTCATGCACCCTGACCAGGGCCAGAGATGGAGCCTGCAATGGAGGTCTGTGCCCTTGACTGACATTGAACCCAGGACCCTTCAGTCCATGGGCCAACACTGAACCAAACCCACTAGGGTGTCCCTACCATTTTAGAAAAACTAAAGTGTGTGTGCATGTGCATGTGCATGTGTATGTGCGCACGCACTGGACACAGGTGACCTGACGAGGGAAGGCACAAGGATTAGAGGGGTGCCACACTAATTTTACTGCTTCCCTGGATGACCTCAGGGCCCAGACGACAGCCTAAGAGCCGGGGCACGTCCAGCCTGCAGAAGTCACTGGAGTTGTGTGCCCGCCGCGGTGTGAACGGGCGACCAGAGTTCCTGAGCGCCTTAAGTATCAAGAGCTGGAGGACTGGGACAAGAGCTCAGATGCTTTGAGGAAATGAAAACTGCAACTGATTCCAAAGCCAGAAGTCCCAGCCGTGGCCGCTGGCCAGGAGGAGGCTGGGCTGGGCCAGTGGCTGCTTGGAGACGGGCTCTGTGCTCAGCTCCGTTCTGAAGGCGCACGCAGGGCCAAGGCAGCAGGAGGGGTTAGTGGGAGAGAGAGGGCGTGTCCGCCTTGAGCTGAGTCCAGGAGCCCCTTCTGAATGACAAGTGGCCCCTTCAGCCCGTCCGAGCCCCAGTCAACCAGCACTTCGGGTGCAGCTGCGGGGCAGGGCAGGGCTCAGGCCTGCTGCGGGATCTGACCAACAGGGGCGCCAGCTGCACCCCTGCACAGGCAGGCGGACCAGCTCCTTGCAGCCCTTCCTTCCTCAAAGGCTCTGGCCACACTGACACTGCCAGGCTGCAGGACGGCATTTCCGAGGGCTGCTCTGGCCTGGGCCTCAGGGGAGCAGACAGCGCTGACAAGGATGAGGACCTCAGCTCTGGGGCTCAGACAGGAGGGTGGGCCCGGCATGAGCGCCCCAACAACCAGAGAAAACGCCAACGCTCCAGGCTCTGGCGGGCGGGCGTGTGGGGTCCAGGGAGACTGGCCGTTCTGTGGCGGGACGAACAGGACAGTGGCTGCTTGGGAACAACGGGAGCAGAAGGAAGAGAACGGAGTGAAGGGAGAGGCTGACTCGGCCCCTCTCCTGAATGGTGAGCCCCCCAGTGAGCAGGGCGACCCTGAGTCTGGAGAGGAGCGCCGCTCAGAAGCTTCAGGCAACTGGAAGGGTGGTGTGTGAGCCGAGGGCACAGGGGCGCCCACCCGAGGTGGGTGGCGGGGGTGCCCACCCCGTACACCGTGCTGAGATGACCACACGTCCAGGGCCCTGATCACAGCAGAGCTAGCGCGCAGGCTCACGGCGGTTCTGGGGAAGTGACAAGGCTTCCCTGTGTTTGCAGAGAAGCACATCGGA